ACTATAGAGATACTCTTTCCTCTAATAGTAATTGTCCAATTCCTCGCCAGGTGTATGTCAATCAGTGTTCCAATTATTTAAATAAATATTAAATGTTATTGCCGTGTGGCACGTGCAACGATGTCTAACACACGCCGGTAGCGCGCTCTAGTGACGCGGGAAATCATCGTCATTGTTACTAGCAACATTGCGATGACATCTGTCAAATTTTACCGCGAAAGTTCGACTAGGTTATGATTATGAAGGTCTTTGTCACCTAAACTTACAATCCCATTTAAAAATAATTGTTTAATTAAAGAAGATATTGCATTAAAAGTGGCCAAGTAAACTAAACCATAGACTTCTTAATTTACTAGAAAAAAAAGCAATTTATGCTAACGTAATCTGTGGTCAACTTAAAAATTGATAGAAATTTGGGGCGATCCTTATTTCTTATTCCATTTGTGCTGACATTTCAACTGTTATTGGTTAATTATTTATTTAATTCGACACACAATTGTCTGGCAACATTTAATAAATCAGGGAATACTAAAAATAAACAATAAAGAAAAATGTGAATATTGTCAGAGGTTTGTAAAAGTTTTATAAGAATTAGGTGCTCGTAATTTTGGAGTTTAAAATAATAATTATAATAATATTACTAATATTACTCGTATAAATACGAAAGTTTATATGGATGGATGTTTGTTAGAGTTTGTAGCCTAAACGGCTGAACGTATCTTGATAAAATTTGGCATACATGTAGAGAATAGTCTGGAAAAACACATAGGCTACTCATTTTTGTTTTTTTTAATATCACGCAGACGGAGTCGTGGGCGAAAGGTATTTAACATATAATTTTAACAAGAAAACTTATTCTTCACGCACGTGTTCTTTATAGTTAACTTATTTATTTATTAATAAATCGTTTTATTCAAGATACAAATTGGCATTATTTTTTCTAAGAAACAATATAATCATCATTACTGTAAATAATGTTTTAAAGTATATTGTGGGTAGTAATTGTAAAGTGGGTCTGCAGTAAGTTGTCAATATCGATACTCAGTGAGGTCGCCTAGTCGACGATTCCAATCCGTATTCGAGTAGGGGACAAATTGTCCTGTCCCGGGGGAAATCTGCGGTTATTAGCTGTCAATCATTGCCGCTAGGTGGCGCCCCATAATGGTGATAATACCACATACTTCACGCTGTGATTTTACGTTTCTCATAAGATTTTTTTGAAAAAAAAATATACTTATTTATGAATTATGGATGGTTTAATTTTATTCTAAAAATATTAATATGCTAGCTTTCGACCACGACTCCATCTGCATGGAATTAAAAAAAAAACATGTACCGTTTGTTCGTCCAGATTATCCTCTACATCTATACCAAGATTCTTCGAGATCCGCTTAGCAGTTTAGGTAACAAACTCTAAAAACAGCCATCCATTTAAATTTTACATTAATATTATTAGTAAGATTTGAAGGATTTAAATATTTTTTATTATAAATACCACTTTGATATTTTTTACCTGTAAAGTGTTTGCTTTTGATGACAATGTTTCAAAAAGTGCACTTTATTTTAGGTTACTTCTACATTTTTCTACATAAAGAGTTTATTGTACTACAATATTCAAGTATTAATAGCTATATCTATTAAAATAAAATATGTATAATTTTTAATTAAAAAAAGAAAAACATTTTCAACATCGGCAAAAGGTGCGTTCGGAGTTGAGATACGACTGGAAGTAGATTTCCGTTTGGATTACTGCGATGGAAATTGACTCGAGGTGTAATTTCCTGAACGCAACGAAAAACTTTTCATTTCACATCTTAACAAATATACTCGTTTGTTATTTACACGTATAATACATATGTATGAGTTAATAAGGTAGACGTTTATTATAACTGTTACTCGCGACTTCGTCTGCGTGTAATTGAAAAATAAAAAATCCTATGTAACTCTGTGATAACATAGCTTTTTAATGATGAAAGATTTTTTGAGATATTTCTATTTATATTAATTCCTATTTTAATATTAGTATAGATTATATTAGTATATGTGTAACGATTAAATCTGAGTGCAAAAATTAAAAAATAATTGTCCTAAAACATACTGCAACTCTCAAGGATATTTAATCTCCTTAGTGCTTTTGTGAAGTCAACACTAAACATCTTCCTTATTGACTGTGAGTACGCTATCTTATTCGTATTAAGCGTTTAAGTAACGCCAATAAATCCAAATTCCCACCTCCATAACTCACACCATACGAGGGAACCTTAATCAACTTACAGAAATGTGGACGTTCTAGATTTATCTTCTACTAGCTGTTCCCGTGCGGCTTCATCCGCATGAAATTATAAAAACTATATTTTATTGTTTCCATTTGTCAAATTATCAATGGCAAATATCAAAATGACATGACATGACAAACCTTAGCAATCTTGCTTCCTTGATGTTGGCAGCAACTTATGGTCTCTTTCCCACATTAGGGTTTTCATCCAAAATGTTTATCGCTAAGTTTAATGGCGTGTAAATATATAGCCTAAAGCGTGACGCAATTTTAGGGCTTTTTATTCAAAAAAGAATTATTCAAAAATATGCTGTATTTGCTGACATCTTAGGCAACAAAGAAGTGTGTGTTTGCGCTTTATTATAATAGTATAGATTGTCAAAAATTTTTGGAGAAAGGAAAAACCCATGTAGAGCTTCATCTTAGCAAAGAATAGAACTTTGAACTTAATTATCTAATCCTTTACTGGCTTTATTTACTGCTTTTAAACTAACAAGTTTCACATCTTTTGCGGATGTCTACGGGCAGCGGACGCTTCGCTATTTAGGCGATTTCCGGTAGCCAGTATTTGCCACTTTATAACTAAAGGAAAAAAGTTTAAAGAAAACAAAAATATTAGATACACAACAATTCAAAAATACCATCCTTTTATGCAACTTACGTTTTTTTTTAATAAAATAAACAAGACTTTATATCAAACTATAAAATCTACCTAACTTTACAATTAAATGATTTTGACACTAAATATCAAATAGACAATCAGAAAACATTAAATTATTTAAACTTTCGTGAGACATTTTATAATTAATTATTTACGGCTTACTCGCGTATGCTTTTGTTTTTCCGGTGACGGCACCGACCAGTTTCAGACCCTGCGGGGGTCCTTCTTCAGGGCGAGAGTTAAGTATGTGAGAAACTGGTCGGTGCCGTCACCGGAAAAACAAAAGCATACGTGAGTAAGCCGTAAATAATTAATTAATCAGAAAACAAATACCTAGTGACTCATTGAATGTTTCTCTAGTAAGTGTTTAAACACAGTTTCTGATACATAGTACCTAAAAATATACATATTTCATACCATTAACATTGTCATGTTCTCAAATACATCAATTAAATCGACGTAAACCATTAGGGGGTTTACAATCAAAGCTATATTATTCGCTTGATCCTTGATAACCCTAAGGTTGTAACATCCCTAATGACGTGTAACACGATACTGTTATGTTGGTACACATAATTGTAACATAACCGCATGAATATTAATTAGTGATTGTCACATACGTATAACTAGCTTTCGCCCGCGACTCCGTCTGCGTGGATGTAAAAGTAAGTAACCCATATATTCCTCCAGACTATCCTCTACGTATATACCAACTTTTATCGAGATTCACTCAGTAGTTTAGGCTCCAAACTCTAACAAACATCTATTCTTTCAAACTATCGCATTTATCATTTCAAAAGACTACACAGCGTGATCATTATTTTATAATTTCGAATATTTACATAACCTTAAAAATCTAGCAAGATTTTTTAATGAATAAAAATGTGAAATCTTATCAATTTCTTACTTACGTTTTTATAATACTAAAATAATAACTGTACCAACCCCTTTGTTATTTAACAATGTGAAAACAGATAAATAGTAACTACAATATGGATAAGCTGATCTCACACACGCAATCTCTTCCAACCATAGGTTTTCATTTAAATTCATTTTAAAATACAAATAAAAGACAAAAACATAATTGACCACCCGCAGTACAGAATATTACTTAATAGTTTAATTACAAACAAGCAGTTAAATAACAGACAGGTCATCAGTCATTGTTACTCTGTGACAATTGACAAACACGTACTTGAAAAGTAAGTCACGCCATCTGTACTCTACTCTATGACTTAATATCTCCTTAATTGGATGAATTAAACGGCTTACTATTCGGTCATATAATAAAGGAACTACTCATACAGTATTCAGTAGAAGGAGAATGATGTAGTTTTGAAATAGGGTCGATTTAAATAACTTTTTGATTTCCTCTGGCACTAAAAACTATGCCAATGGTCTCATTTTGTGCGCCTAACAATATCTTCATCGAAAAGAAACAAGCAGTTAGCAATAATTTTATTACAACAATTAAAACAGAACCAGCATCTCACAGCACCCCTAGCTTTATTCTGGGTGATTTATACCAAAGGCTTCATATATGAGAAGGTTCAGACGACAAATGACACCTACGATTATTGTCGAAGAATTAGCTACTGACACAGTATGCAAGCTTTATTAAACAGGTAAAAGCGGAGACAGATTTTCTTTATTTTTTCATGGGATAGAGAAATAGGAGCGTAACTTATGTCTACATTTCCTAACAATCCCATAAACAATGGTCTCCCATTGCAATAATTTTCGCTGTCTATATGAAAAAACATAGTTAAAGGGAATTCTTAAATAATCTTGCTAAAATAATAAAGGGTAAGTTTAGATGTTAGAGTTTATAATACAAACTTCTTAACGGATTCTGGAAGAACACGTAGGATACTTACTTTTCTTTTAATTCCATGCGGACGGAGTCACGGACAAAAGGTAGTATTAAAATAATTTGTTTCCGTATTCACAAAATCTAATGGATCATTATTCCAAATAATAATTATGATCTTCATTATCTACAACTGCCACGAAATCTCATTATTAAAAACAAGAAATGTCACATTACTAATTGACATTGTCATTTTGAAAAGGGTTTTTTGTAAGTTTTATAAAGATTTATTTTATAATTCAGTTTACATGTACAGAAGTGCAAGTGTAAATGTTGCGTTGGTTTTTGCACTGTGCGGCACGGTAACCTATAGTCAGATGCTACCGAACGTCGGCACAGTGCTCTACTCCAACGACGATAAAACAAAAAACAAATGGACCAGAGATGACATAGCTCTGCTCCAAGCTAGACGATATTCCCAACATCTTATCCCACCTCTAGACACCAGCGATGAAATCAATGAAGAATACATCAAACGCTTGCTAACATACTTCAGAGATATTTACAAAACGATCAAAAACGTAAGCCCGGACCCACAAATAAATGACATTATAACCACCGCAGTTTCCGATACATTAGGAGGGTACTTAAAACAATGGCTCCTACCTATCACTAAGTTCGCATTCTACAGCGGTACAGTCAGCAAAAAGAGTGCAATGAGAATGTTCAGTTTCTATGAAGATGTTAAGAAATACCTCGACACCGATGGCAGTAGCTGGAGCGCCCCCAACGTAAGAGTCCTCAAATCTGTCGCAATCAATATAGCCCCACCTCCGAAGCTCACTTCTTCTGGTACTGGGCAGTCGCCTTGTGACAATCTAGTTTACTACGAAAAAGATGATAAAGGTTTAAAAATACCGATGCCTAGTGTGACTTGGAGTAATACCTCATCAATAATGTTCCTGCCTCTTAAAAATCAATCCTTCATGTTTCTAAATTCACCAGAATCTGGGACTATACTATTTCAATATTACGACACAGCAAAGAGTTGTCTAAGATCTATTAGAATGGCAGACGAAGAAGAATTCAATAAACGCTTCCAAACTTGGCTTATTAGCACAGTGTTGCCACACTTGAATGATGAGAACTTGTACTTCGGCTTAGACAGTGTACTTTGCTTAGTTAACAAGACGAAGGAATTAAGTAAAGTAGCAGATTTCTGCGAGAAACCTGCCAAACCAAAGGACGTGCATTTTCATTTTGCCTCAAAGAAAGTGGTAATAGTAACGATTATACTATTCCTAGAAATATGCTGGTGTATTCCAGCTATGATTTATATAAAATGTTCTCGAAAGAAAGAAAGAAAACGAGGTGGAAGTAGTTTTCTCCACGTGTGCGTATCGCGTAAGGAAAAATCAATGACCACGGAGAGCTTAATTGAAGAAAACAGCATGCATTTCAACAGACACAGCAACGAGGGGCCGGGAGGGAAAAATTTTCCGAAGCTTCTACGATATTCAGATCTAGGTATCCAGCACGATCCATCGCAAAAGGCAACTTGCATTTCTAGAACTGCATATCCTGAACCAGAAGACAAACCGTGCTCGACTAAATCTCATATTAAGACCGACTGTAACAAAAATCAGGGAGAAAGTGAGTACTGCTTTGATTGCACATCTAATCCGACTATTTATACATCGACTAGTAAAGCATTAAGGCCATCAATTTACAGTACAACAAAGAAACTAGTCGCCGCTAAAACTGTTACTTTATTTAAAAATAGCAAAACAAACAATTACTCTGACATAGCAGAGAAAGACACCACCGATAACAGAATCTTATGTCCTCCAAGAACTAACTATAAAGAAACTCCGGTTAAATTCAAAGAACCTGTCAAATATAATACATTTATTCGTCCGAAAAAAAGTAAAAACATTACCATTTTAGATAAAAAGGAGAGCAATAAAACTGTAAAGAATGATTACGGTAATAGAAGTATGAAAGGGCATATGTACAACGATCGAGCTCCTTTCGACAGAGCTCCGAAGTCAAAAAAGATCACATTAACTCAAAAAGGTGCTAAAAGTTATGCGGGGAAACCTTACGGTGGTATTAAACTTGAACGACAAGAGCCAGAAATTTTGGACGTAAGTGAAATAACGGACAAAAATAAACCAGAAATAACACTTAACCAAATGTCTTGCAACAGAACTTCAGATTTATTTGTTGTCGGCACAAGCATAGATATTAAAGAAGCACCTGATATTAATAACGAGAATAGTGGAAATGTAGCTGATAAACTTAAAAAGGATATAATGAAAGACAATCTTCTAATGATAGAGTCTGAAGGCAAACTAACAATTTAATCTTAGTAAATTTATTTATAGAATTATTTTAATTAATAAATAAAACTAATTGAAAAATAACTATCTTCTCTTATCATAACATCTCTTGAAATTAGATAAGAATAACTTTATAACTATAAATTGTCTTGCTTTACAGAGAGATGTAGAAAGTGGTAGAGCCAGCTTTAACATCATCGCACGAATTGGCCGGCTCGCCCTGTGCCACGACCACACAGAAAACAGGCGTGAAGTGAAAGCAATTCCGCGTNNNNATGTGCGTCTCGTTCTCCGTCAATTAAGGGTAGGCAACGCATCTGCAATTGCAGATGTTTATGGGCAGCGATCGCTTTCCATTTCGGTGGATTCAGGTGGCCGCTTGCAGTCAGTGTCAGTCAGTGCAGTCCTTACCTTTATAAAAAAAAAGATTTTATCTATTGTCTTTTCCTACTTTCTAGAAAACATCTAAAAGCTCTCTCCATACTTGTATCACATTTAGAGGCAGGTACTAATCACCCTGACGAATTTATTGGCCGCGATCCGGGTGAATTACTGTGGCGGGGGGCGGTTGAGTTATTGCATATTTCCCTGCTCAGGTGGTCGGGCATCCCCTAATCTGTCATTACGCCAGTCCATTCCCACTTAGTAAATTGAATGCTCGGACTTTCTTTGTATTTGGCTGTAGGTTCACATTTTGGATATTATTCAGCACTACGTGAATTGTTACACTGCATTTTTATCGTTTTTGCGCGTTTTCTTTAACTTGAAAAGTATTTTTTTTCTGTAGATATGAACAGAATCTAAATAGTTAGTTGTAACAGATGCTTTTAATCATCTACCCGAAGTAGTGGCCATCAATTAGCTAGAGGCAGGGACAATTTGTTCCTAAATCTCGTGTCGATCGGGGATTATCCCGGACAATTGCTCGTAATCCCACAACATTGGCTACCTACTCTCGGACAGATGTATTTATTACTGACTTCTCACCCTAAACTATTAGTCGTTATCCACTACTAAGGGAATTAATTTATATTGTAAAATTTAGCTTGACAAATGTATGAAAATATTCACTTGATAAGTAAAATAACATCGCACATTAAAAACTTTTTGTCGGTGAGCCATACTTTCTTACAGTACTTTCTGCATTATTTGCTATAAATTTTGTTTACCGAACGTAAGTGACAAGATAACTACACAGAACTAAAAACCAGTACTAAAAGAGATGCATGGAAAATTAAAAAATAACTACTACGCAGGTATATCCTCTTGCATCAGTTACGCCACAAAAACTGTCACATTCTATTATGATTTACTACCATATTGATCAAATTAAAAAGAATTAAAAGAAAGAATTAACAAAACAAAAGAGCTTCGAATTCAATGTCCCTTCGGACTTTCCATAAGTGCAGAGATTCAACGCAAAATCCTGATAAACCAATGAAATTAAATATACATAAACCATAAACGTTCCCGGGTCAACTCTAATTTATTTGCGGGTCCGTTTGTACCCAGATTACAACGTCCATGTTAAATCCCCTCAATAAAATGTATTTACATTTTTGTGACGTTGAATTGTTCACCACATATGGCCTATAACCTTATTTAATTAACTTGAAATGTAATAATTAATCTCCGAACTTATAAAGAACTTCAACTACAAAGATATGTAGATAGATGTATAGAAAATTCACCTACAAAAATTAATGTGATCTTTTTCATATCCAACCATTACTGTCTCCAATTTCCGTCTTTGAAGTCGACAGACTGCCAGTTATCATTCATACCATCTAGAGGGCTAGCAATCTTCAACTGTGGGATTTTCGTAAAGCTTTGTGGCTGCCACATCCTCATTATGCATTTGTCTATCGGCATTATTTCCAAACTGTTACTTAGAGCACTTCAAAGTGTCTCCTTCTCAAAGGCAACGCATCTGTAGTTCCACTTATATGTGGATGTCCATTTGTCGATGATCACTACATTGTTCCGCCTTTTAAAAATAACCAAGGAATTAAAAAGAAAAATCTCAGTCAACGAATTTGAGTTAGTAACTCTATCTTAACGTTTTAAATTAACCCGTTGACACAACACGAAACCGGGCGGGGAACGTCCCAATAAATTAAACAATATCTCCCCTGTTTGCAAGGAAACTCAAGATCTCGCTCTTTCCAAACCTTGTCATATTAACTCTGTCCCAAAACGCACCACAACTTTGAACGTTCCTTGTTACAATTCAATGCGACAAGGTTCTAAGTGCAGCTAAGCAAATAAGTCTTACAAATCGAGGAAGATAGGTGTGTACGTAATTAAAGGACGGTAACAAGGCCTCTAGGGAATGTTCCGATATCGTTGTCAGAATAAACCCCTCGCCGTAACGGAGGTTAAAAACTAGCTTAACTGAATTTATATCCAACAAAATTAACTTATCTATTGTGAAAGATTGAAAGAATTACGCTCGTGACCTCGAAACATTCGCTCATTCTAGTGTTCCTAGTTTTAAAAAAATCATATTTGCGTTTATAAGAATACTAGCTTTCGCCCGCGACTCCGTCCGCGTGGATTAAAAAAAAACAAAATTGAGTAGCCTATGTGTTCTTCTAGACTATCTTCTACATCTGTACCAAATTTCATCGAAATGCGTTTAGCCGTTTAGGCTACAAAGTCTAACAAACATCCATCCATCTAAACTTTCGCATTTATAATATTAGTATGATTTACTCTAGTAGTCTCTATTACTTTTTATGCTTGCATGTACAACACAATTAATGTTATTAACACACTAAACAAATTGTAAACAAACTAGCTTTCGCCCGCGGCTCCGTCCGCGTGGAATTAAAAATAAAACAAAAGTGAGCAGCCTATATAATCTTCCAGATTACATCTATACCAAATTTTATCGAGATCCGTTCAGCAGTTTAGGGTGCAAACTCTAACAAGCATTCATCCATCCAATCTTTCGCATTTTCAAGATTATCTATCTATACTATTATAATAAAGCGTAAACACGCACTTTTTTGTTGCTTAAGATGTCAGCATTCAAAGCATATTTTTGAATAATTCTTTTTGGAATAAAAAGTCCTACACTTACGTCATGCTTTAGGCTATATATTTTCACGCCGTTAAACTTAGGGGTAAATATTTTGGATAAAAATTCTAATATGGGAAAGAGACTATAAGTTGCTGCCAACATCAAGAAAGCAAAATTGTCATAATAAGGTAATTGGTATTTTGACATTTGCAATTGCTTATGTAAACAATAAAAAAAATCATAATTTTATGCGGATGAAGTCGCATGGGAACAGCTAGTCTGATATAGTTTACAATAACTTGCATAGTTAATTTAAAGGTAAACTAACGTTGATAGTAATCTATTTGCCAATACACTGTTGTCACCTAAATAAATACAAAGATTTAAGATACGACGTCCATTTTAGAAAGACCTACGACTTAACTAAAACATTCCCATTTATATATCAAATTTGTTAAGACACAAGAGAGGGTAGGGGTTCAATTATAATTGTCGGAGAAAATTACACGCTAGGGGAAGTTAAGCAAATTAATCACAGGTTCCAATTTGGTGGGAAACAATGCGGTTGATGTAGGAGTCGTCAGCCCTTATTGCTGCTCGTAATGTCAGTTGGTTGTAAACGATTAACCTTTGTTCAATTACGTGACGTGATATGACTAGCTTTCATCCGCGACGCTTCGTGCAATTAAAAAGACAACAGTAAGCCTACATGTTCTTCCAGGCTATGGTCTACATTGTGCCTGATTTCATCGAGATCCGTTCAGCTGTTAGACGGCAAACTCTAACAAACTTCAGTCTAAACTATCGTATTTATATTAGTAAGATATAGATACTCTCAATATTACACATTATTTTTAACTATAACGTACCTTTTTGGCATTAAAACTAAACTTATTAATTTACTGTCTTTACATACAAAAGAATTAGATCTTAAGAATAATCTTACTGTTTAGTGCAACTACAACCTCTTTGGCTGACAAGAATTATAAATTTAGCAAAAGAGGTTGCATATTGGCCGCCAAGACACAGTTATTAAAAAATATTGAGACGTAGAACAAAAAGTGTACAAGATGTGACATGAGAAAAGAAAGAACGTAAAAAATGTAAGCTTTAATAAATTGTATATTTTGTGTAAATATAAATAAAGCTGATTAATAACGATGGTACTAGTTTACATTTATTCACTTACTTAGTTACTAATACTATAAATGCGAAAGTTTAGATGGGTCGTTAGATGGCTGTTTGTTAGAGTTTGTAGCCTAAACGGCTGAACGGATCTCGATGAGATTTGGCATAGATGTAGTGGATAATATGGAAGAATACATAGTCTACTTTCTTTTGTTTTTTTATAAATCTACGCGGACAGTGTCGCGGTCGAAGGTAGTATAAAATAATACATGTTATTAAAATGTTGTGGTAATATTATTTAAGGCAAGATTCATTTCTTCCAATCGTGTTGCGTAACACGACATCCTGTGACTAACAACAGACAGTCAACTGTTTACATCCGGCAAGATGTCGCACGACACAAGATAAATAAAACAATAGTGATTAATTTGTATTTCCTTCACTTGAAACGTTCAAGTGGTTATTATTACAAACTTTCATTGTAATTCAGAGGTAAAGGATAACATAATTCTCATGAGATAGTCGTCATCTTACTTCTTACTAATCTTACAAATGTTGTAAATACGAAAGTTTAGGCGGATGGATGGATGAATGGATGTTTGTTACTGTTTGTAGCATAAACCGCTGAACGGATCTCGATGAAATTTAGCATAGATGTAGAGCAAAATCTGGAAGAACACATAGGCTACTTATATTATTTTATAGCACGCGGATGGAGACGCCGTCGAAAGCTAGTATTATATAAATACAAAAATTTAGATGGATTAAGGAATGTTTCTTAGAGTTTATAGCTCGATAAAATTTGACATAGATGTAGAGGATAGTCTGAAAGAACACATATACTACTTGCTTTTGTTTTTTTTTAAATTCGAGCGGACGGAGTCGCGGGCGATAGCTAGTGGGAC